TTTCTTTCTTTCTTTCTTTCTTTCTTTCTTTCTTTCTTTCTTTCTTTCTTTCTTTTTTTTTTGGCTTTATTTTAAGTGCTTTAGTTTAGAGACGTGGTGGCTCAGTGGCTAAGACGCTGAGCTTGTCGATCAGAAAGTTTGGCAGTTCAAATCCCTAGTGCCACGTAACAGAGTGAGCTCCCATTACTTGTCCCAGCTTCTGCCAACCTAGCAGTTAGAAAGCATATAATGCAAGTAGAAAAATAGGGACCACCTTGGTGAGAAGGTAACAGCATTCTGTGCGCCTTCGGCATTTAGTCATACCGGCCACATGACCACGGAGATGTCTTCAGACAGCACTGGCTGTTCGGGTTTGAAACGGAAATGAGCACCGCCCCCTAGAGTCAGGAAGGACTAGCTCATATGTAAAAGGGGGAACTTTGCCTTTACCTTAATTTAGAGAAGAGCAAACCTAGACACCAAATACTCCACGATAACTAGTGCTACTATAACGCCATTAAATTGGAATACATTTCCTTCCCATACTCCTCCAAAGGGTTAGCATTTGTGCTCAATAAAGTCATATTGTATGTCTAAATAAAAAGAAATGCACCTGGATAAAATCTCATCTGGGCTTGTTTTGTATGTGCAGCCTTTACAGATGTTTTTCAGGTTTTCAGATTCATTTCTGAGCGAAATAATTCTGGGAAAAAGGAATGTTTAACTGTTAGCCCCATGTGCAGAATTTTGCTAATTGTTAAACCTAGTGAAGAACGGCCATTACTTTTTGGCTTTTATACATTTTCCTTGTTTTTTTTTTCTTTCTTTCTCTCTGTATAGGATGCTGCAAGCAAGTTCTGCTAAAAACGAAGAGGAAACCCCAACATCAGAAGCGGAGCTGAGACAGTCCCTAGCAGAGTTTTACCAGAAAAAAATTTCTGAGCGGACAGTTTCATCTCACCCCCGAGATCAGAAAAAGAGAGGTATGCAGTTTGCTTATATATATATTTTTACAATCAAGCAGATGAAAGCACAAGGGAACACATCACCCTTACTTAAATATGGGCAGTTCTTGATTTATTACCACAATTGAGAACAGAATTTCCATTACTAAGCAACGCGGTTGTTAAATGAACTTTACACCCAATTTTACGATATATATTTTTTGCCATGGTTGTTACGTGAATCACTGCAGTTGTTAAGTGACTCGTGGTTGTTAAGCAAATCTGCCTTTTCCCTGCTGACTTTGTTTGATGGACGCCAGCTGGGAAGGCCATCACATGACCCTTGGNTGCCATGCAAGAAAGGAGTCATCAAGGTAGCAGAAGGGGGGGTATTTACTAGGGCAACCAAGGTGGGGCAGGAGAGAAGTCATAGGTAAGGGGCAGAGTAGTTACTAGGGCAAGCGAGGGGAGCAGGAAGATAGGCATCAAGGTGGGAGGGAATAGTTACCAGGGCAGAGGAGGGGGCAGAAGGGTAGTTATCAAGGTAAGAGAGGGGATAATTTTCAGGATAACGGGGGAGGGGAGGCAGAAGGATAGTCCTCCCCCCCAGAGCAACTAGGAACAGGGGGGGGGGAGCCGCCATGATAGACTTTCCAGGTAGCGCCTCCATTTGCAAAAGGGCCCAGTGGATAGAGTAAAGGGACTCGCTTGAGGAGAGGGCATTGCTTTTCTTTGAAAAGGGTGAGCTTTGGAGAGGGACGGCGCTGCCGCATTGCCTGTGAATGCCAGCAGAAGCTTAAGTTCCTCAGTTCCCAAGCCCTGGCGTGAGCATGCTTGTTTGGAAAGCCAGCCCCAGTGACTGTAGAGCCCAGGGATCTATTAGCCTGCCTAGGATCGGATTAGGATGTTGAAATAAGTGGGGCTCCACCTTCGGATCTCGGTTCAGGCGGATGCCCTCTCCTGGCGCTTGGAATCCTCCAGGATAACCAGCGGCTGAAGCATCATGACCTGCTCCCACAATGTGGTTTTCCTCTTGGACACGGCGGATTCCGCGGAGAAAGATCACCTTCACCTGGGCACCTTGAGGATCTTGAACTTTTTGGGTTGCAAGTTTGGCCTAGCTAAGGTCCGATGGGATTTCAAATTCTTTGACTCCACGGGAATCCACGCCCGGGCTTCGCGTGTAGGAAGTTTCCGGGAGCTTGGGTCCCGCAGCTGGGAAGACTTTGAGGAAGAGCTGGCGGCCAGGTTCGGGAAGCAGCCCTGCCCGACGGGCTCACCTGGGCCGACGCCACGATCCGCCGTCACTCGGAACATTCTGAAAGAAACGCTGCTGGACTATCAGTGGGACCGCCCTGAAATAGTCTCTCCTATCAAACCAGTGCTGAGGAGCCAGAAAAACAAATTAACGGTGATTGTGGACAACCCTCCAGCACAATCCACTCACACTGGCTTTGCTAATGCCATTTTCGTCTTATCTCCCTGCCCTCATTCCCGGAGGGAACTATGGCAATTTATTTCTGGGAACTATGCTCCTTTGCCAGAGGAGCTGCCTGCTTCGCATGACCTGGCGGAAAAATTCCTCCCTAAGAGAATTCAAGACATGATGGTCAGTCATAAGGTCACTCTATATTGGATGGACACCACTGAATGGTCCAAGGTAAAAAAAAAATCTCAGATTATTGTCTAGTTTGCTATATCGCTGCATTCATTTTAGAATATAGAGTAGCAGAGTAGGAGACCTTGGAGATCTTCTAGTCCAACCCCNGATGGGCTTTCGAATGGTGTATGAATTATTTGTGTTGTTATTACAAGTGTTGCTGTGACCCCCTAGGAAAAGGTTATGCCCCGCCCTGTAAATACTTGCCGGTTGCTGTGCATTTACATTTTGATCATGTGACTAGGGATGCTGCAACAATCATAAGTGTGAGAACCGGTAATACGTCACTGTTTTTATTGCTGCTATAGCCTTGAATAGTCACTAAACAAATACAGATTGTTCTCAACTTATGACCACAATTGAGCCCACAATGCATGTTGCTCAGTGGTGGGATCCTCCCAGTTTAATAACCGGTTCGGTGATCATGCGATTTGCCATTTGATCGTCGGGGCAAACCGGTTCGCCCGGACCAGTCTGAATTTGTAGAATCCCATCTCTAAGGTTGCTAAGTGAGACGTTGAAGTGCGTTTTGCCCCATTTTATGACTTTTCTTGCCACAGTTGTTAAGTGAATCACTGCAGTCATTAAATTAGCAACACGGCTATTAAGTGAATCTGCTTTCCCCATTGACTTTGCTTGTCAGGATGTCACAAAAGGGGATCACGTGACCCTGGGATGCCACAAGCATCAATAAATATGAGCCAGTTGCCAAGCAGCCAAATGTAAATCACGTGACCATGGGGATGCTGCAATGGTTCATAAGTCACTTTTTTTAGTGCTGTTGTAACTTTGAACTGTCGCTAAGCAAGGGCTGCCTGTAGGTGTAAGACAAGGATTGCCTGTTATTGTGGCCCACCAGCGGCCAGCAGAGTTGGACAGTGAGCAGGTTGGAGAGGAACATGGGCCAGTCCTGGAATCTGGGGAAGGCTCTGATAAGGGCTCTGCGTTGGAGGCAGAGAGGAGGCCGTATGCCAGTTATCAGCTGCCTTAGTGATGCAGAGGAACAACTGGAGCCTGTTTCTAGTGTATGCATGCGCAGAGCTGCCAGGAGACAAGAACAACTAAGAAATCAAGGTCGAATTAGGAGTAAAGCGACCCCTTGAATGTGATTGGCCCCTCCCATAGGAAACAAAAGAGCGAACGGGGAGTGGGCTTTTGCAGGAAACAATTTGTTCCTTCAGTCGTTTCAAGAGTTCTTTTTGTGACTATAAGAGACTCTGTGCCAAGTGTTGCCTTGTCTTGCGTTTGGAAACTAGTTATCTGGCAGCTCTTCAAGGTTCGTGTGGATAAATATTCCTCGGAAAGACTGTTTGCTAACCCTTGCTGACTGTGAATGAAAGGAATTGACAGTTGTGTAAATAAAGGGTTTTGCCAGGGCCAAGGCTCTGCTTCTTGCTTTCTAAGGAAGCCTGGATCAGAACATGTGTAAAGATCACATCATTCCTAATAAGCAGTTGTGTGTTGTAGGATCTGTAATGCTACTGATCTGTTGGACTCTAATGAACCACGCTCACATTCCACTTTTGTTTTCCGCTTGAACAGCCGGGGTTCCCCGGACACCCATTAGGCAGAAGATGAAAACCATGCCCCGTTCTCTTCAGATGCTCAATGCTGCCATGTTCAACGTGAAAGCTCAGAAACACCAGCCGGATGGAGAGCTGCCAGCGCATAAAAAGCCACACCAAAGGCTGCTCTCCAGAAGATTGGATGGCAAAGGGGAAAGAAACGGAAGGAAACGGAAAAGCAAGATAGGTGCGTGGAGATCCGCTCTCTGTCATGTGCAGTAGCTAAACCAAAAGTCCTGTGTTTCAGAACAAAGAGTAGGATTCAAAACTGGGTGTCTTAGTGCAGATTTAAAGGAGAATTGCAAACATTCTAGAACGGGGTCTCCAACTCCAATCCACAGCCCGGTACTTGTCTATGGCCTGTTGGGAACCAGACCACACAAGCTGCAGGTGAGCGTGCAAAGCTTCATTAGTGCAAGTGGTAGGCACATGCATGAAACCATCCCCTCTCCCACTTCTCCCCTACCACCCATCTGCAGAGTGAGAAAGCTTGTGGACTGCTATTCTAGAACAGGGGTCGGCCACCTTAAACACTCAAAGAGCCATTTGGACCCGTTTCCCACAAAACCCTTCCCATGCCTAACTTTCCTGAGCAGCCACAAAATTAGCATGCGTAGTTGAATTAAACATTCTGTTTTCTTCTGAAACTTTTCTTTTCTTGGATTTATCTATGGTTGACGTACTGGAAGTTGAAAAGCTCAATAAATCGCGTGCCAGTAGGTGTCGCACATTGGCGGTGTGCGATGCATATTTCGAGCGACCGGGAGCCACAGCAGAGGGATGAAAGAGCCACGTGCGGCTCCAGAGCCGCAGGTTGCTGGCCCCTGCTCTAGAAGATTTAAATTCCTCTTCTCAATGAGATAGCTGAATATGGATGCTTGTATATTATAAGAGGCTTCTTAGTCAGTGTACTAAGTCACACCGCATGGAGAAATCTGGCATGTCAATGGTGGAATTGTGAAGTTTGTGAGTGAATAGAAATGTGTTAATACTAGGGAGGAAAAACTCAACAAATGAGAGAGGATCATTTGCCCCATCATTTGACTCTGGTCTTCATACCTCAAGGTTTTCCTGACCCACTTGCTGCAAATTCACCGTTATCACAGAAGCAATTATGTTATATTCAATTGCACTGCCATTATATTCCAGCAAGATATTTCATTCTGTGTGTTTTTACAGACTTCAGTACCGAAGATGAAATGCTTTCTTACCTCAATGCAAACTACCAGAACGCTATGATGGATGGAGAAAATTTGTTTGCTCGTTCCCAAGATATGGTGACAGCTGTTAATGCGTTTCAGAACTCCAGTGAGGTAGAGTCATTGCTTACATACACCTGTCTTTGCTTTCCCAGAGGTTTTTCAAAGGTCTTTCAGACTTAAAGGCATTGAAAGGGAACCTAAAGAGAACAAGCTTATATTTCTATTATTATAGAAACATAAATCCCCTGTCTAGGTGGTGAAATGACATTAGCAATCAAGAAAAAGTTTATACTGTATTTTACCAGTCTTTTTAAGTCCAGCTAATTGATTGTCTCAAAGGTGCATTCTCAGGAGGCAACTTGGACTTTCTGGTTTTCTTTGATGACTGAGAATCTCCATAGACATCCAGCTAATTGGGTTTCAGGAATTATTTTTGCCTACCTACACACAAGCAATAAGGAACATCCTGCAAGGCACCTATTGGTCATGGTCCTTTGTAAGATGGACAATTGAGTTGGTTTCTTTGTCTCTCAGATCTTTTCCACATTATATGCCTTTGGTTTAAAGACCACAAGAAAACTGTAGATGCTAGGATAAGAGATTGAATTCTTCAGTTCCAAAAGAGAATCCCCCCCCCATTTTTTTAATGAAGAAACAATAAACCTGATTGGATTAGAACAAGCCACTTCCGGTGAGACTTGACTTCAAAATAGTTATGTCATGTTTTCAGCATAGTACAAATTACATTCAAAGATATTGAAACAGAGCAATACAATTTTGTTCTTGAGAAGGACATCTTGCTGAGAACATCCTGTGAGTGTTTCCTTTTTTCTACTCAAGTGTCATCTGTTCCCATATAAAGGAAGAAAAAATGATTTCTGTCTTAATTTGTTTGCTCCTTAATATAAGACTCTAAGATTTATCAGTGGCATATAAATCTATTAAATAAGTGTCTCTCTGAGACACTTTTTCCACTGCTTTGTTGTTTGCATTTAATTACCGTATTTTGGGAGTATAAGACGCTCCGAAGTATAAGACGCACTTAGCTTATGGGGAGGAAAAAAAAATCTGCCTCCCAGAAATTTGCCTTCTTACAGCAAACAGCCAATTTCAGTTTCAACACAGCCCAATTAACACAAGCAGCTGATTGTCGGATCTCCCAACAATCAGCTGTTTCAGGCTGCAGGGATTGCCATAGCCTATTGCAGCCTCCACGTGCCCCATTTTTGGCCTCCGCATCCCATTTTCAGCCTCCCCACACCTTGTTTTTGGCCTCAGCGTGCCCCATTTTTCACCAGTTCCAGGTGGCGGGGATCGGAATGGGTGGAAAATGGGACACACAGAGGCGGGAAATGGGGTGCACAGAGGCTGAAAAGGATGTGGAGGCCCAAAATGTGCGTGGAGGCAGCAATGGCAATCCCTGAAGCCTGAAACAGCTGATCATCGGGAGGCCAATCCAACCAACAATCAGCTGCTTGCGCTAATCAGGCTGTGCTGATACTGAAATAGGCTGTTTGCTGCAAGGAGGCAAATTGCTGGGGGGCAGAGGCCAAAGGGTGGAGGCCGGCGGGTGAGCGGAGCTACATTCAGTGTATAAGATGCACCCAAATTTTCACCCTCTTTTAGCAGGGGGGGTGTCTTATACTCTGAAAAATACAGTAGGTAGCCTCTCTGTTTTTGTGCTGTTATTCCAATGGGCTGTTTTTGTGATTGCCACTTGTATTTGGTGCATATCTGTAGTAACACCTTTATCTCTGATGTTGTGTTCATAGGCAACTTGTCTAGACACGATCCAAAGACGTCTCCTGAAACCCCCCAACACTCTTCGTCAACAACTTGCCACTGATCCTGATAAAGAAATCAAAATCAAAGAGTACGAAGCCTGATTTTTGCTTCTAAAATAATTGACTCAGTTAATTTTAGATGAGGGGGTTCTTCTGCGTATAAGTGGAGGGATTCAGTTGAATGCTTGATGTGATATAGTCCATGATTTAAATTCACTCCCATTATGTCGTTCTGAAAATATTTGCATACCCATTATATAATTAGCCTTGACAAAATGTATTATTTTGTTTGTATGGTGTAAGGATAAAACTATTATTGAGGCCTGATTATGCAGTGGTTAGAATGTAGTATTGCAGGCTAATTCTGCTGATTGCCAGCAGTTCGATCTTAACCTGCTCAAGATTTACTCAGCCATCCATCCTTCCGAGGTCAGGAAAATGAGGACCCAGACTGTTGGGGGCAATATGCTGACTCTAAACCGCTTAGAGAGGGCTGTATGTAAATCACTATGAAGCGATATATAAGTCTAAATGATCTTCCTACTATATATATATACATTTGTAGACTGTTTTTTTCATTCAAATACCTGATAGTAATTGATTGATGAACAATTAAAATACCCTTAGTATTTTAATTGGTAATTGGTATTAATTGAAAACGTTTGCAGCTTTGGGTGCTGTGTGGAAAATGCTTTTCAGAGTAATTTCTTCTGCACTCCCTCCCCCACAGTCCATTTTTATTGCTATTTTGAACAGTTGAAGGGGAAAGAGAAACAAGGAATATTCCCCTCAATCTGTCTTTTCCTTTTTTTTTTAAAGGTGCCGACTTCAAGTGTATTTGCGCCTGGAGATGTGCCTGCTACATCCTTCTTTGCAAAATAAAACAGACAGAATGGAGCAGCTTGTTCAAGAGGTAAATAAAGTGTGTGTGTTTTACACATCTCTAAAGTCTTGGAAAGTAAGACTTTGTTCTTCACTTTGAGTGTCATGGATTTGGGGACTTTTACTCTCTTGCAGATGACGGAGTTACTTAGGATGTTGTGTTTGACTAAAGATCCAGGATACCTCAGCAGTTTTTTGGAAGAAGTTGTAGATATGTAAGTGATCAAAAGTCAGAGGCAATTGATTTGTATTGGTTGGTTGGTTGGTTGGTTAAACATGTACAAGATAACAAGTACAGGTAGGACATGAACAAAGGAAGTAAATGCAGATAAATGGGGACAGTAGGACAGGGAAGGTAGGCACACTGATGTGCTTATGCATGCCTCCTTTACCAGACCTCTTAAGAATGGGGTGAGGTCCACGGTAGACAGTTTAAGGATAAAGTTATGGGGGTTTGAGGATGTAACAACAGAGTCAGGTGGTGCAGTCCAGGTGTTGACCACTCTGTTGCTGAAGTCGGATTTTCTGCAGTCGAGTTCGGAGCAGTTTGCCATGTATTTGTATTGATTGTTTGCCCGTGTATTATTGCATTATTTATGATTGTTGCGGCATCCCAAGATCTGGTGATTAACTTTTGCGACCTTCCGAAAAGCAACGTCAATGGGGAAACCAGGGTCACTTAACAACTGGGCTACTAACTTTATCAACTGAAGGGATTCACTTAACCAAGAAAGCAACAAGTAAAAGGGGGCAAAATTCACTTAACAAACATCTTGTTAACAACAGAAATGTTGGGCTCACAAGTAGAGGACTACCTGTACATAGATAGCTTGGTACCTAAATTTTGCCAAGATTTAAATCCTGTGGTTTTGCGCTCTCCCTACAGATATCTGGAATCTATGCCCAAGACTCTTGGTGATTTGTACTACAGCCTAGGAACGGAGATTCCCGCTAAGTTAGCTTCCGTCCTCCCAACGGATTTCTTTAGTGATGATTCCATCACTGAGGAGACACAGATTCCGTCCCTTCCTGCCTCTGCTACCTCTCTTCCACTTTCTAAAGCAGCTTCTTTAAGCGCCGAAGGAGACGAGCTGGAAGCACTGCGCACCCGATCTGCCAAGAAACGGTAGGTGTATGTCAGAAAAGGGCACAATCCCCGCAAAATGTACCATATTTTTCAGAGTATAAGATGCACCTTTTTCCCTCAAAAAAGAGGGTGAAAATCTGGGGGCATCTTATACACTGAATACAGCATTTTTGGCCTCCTGAAACCCTGCCCCCTTTGCAAAAATGGCCGTGCATAGCCTTTAGGAAGCTTGTAGAGTGCTCCTGGGGGCTGGGGAGGGCAAAAATGATCGAAAAACGGGACTTTTTTTACTCATCTTTGCCTCCCCAGCCCCCAGGAGCACTCTACAAGCCTCCTAAAGGCTATTTATGCCCTTTTCTTTTGACAAAAAAGGGCCATTTTGGGGAGGTCTGCAGAGTGCAAAAACTTTTTTTTTTTAATTTGCCTCTTCAAAATCTTGGTGCGTCTTATACTCTGAAAAATATGATAAGTTCTGTCTACTCCCCCCAGCTCCATTGTTTTTTCTGCTTCTGTAATTGATTTCTATAGAGCCACAGTATTGGCTGGGTTGTTGAGTGGAAAACAGAGTGGGTGTCATCCTTATGTGTTGGGCTTACAGTGTGGGAATATTCTGAAGTCATCCATGTGCGAGAAACTCAGGTTTTCTGCACCTTAAAAACAGGCTTGATTCATGGTTGGGAAGGGAAGTAAACATCCTACATCTTATAAAGAGCCGAGGTGGCGCAGTGGTTAAATGCAGCACTGCAGGCTACTTCAGCTGACTGCAGTTCTGCAGTTCGGCTGTTCAAATCTCACTG